CTTAGTGTGATGTCCACGTGTGTCATTTCCCTTAGCGTGATGTCCACGTGTGTCATTTCTCTTAGCGTGATGTCCACGTGTGTCATTTCTCTTAGCGTGATGTCCACATGTGTCATTTCTCTTAGTGTGATTTCCTATGTGGGTTTGTAAGAGTAAAACAAGCATTTCAAATGACTGTGAGCAAGTGTCTTCTCCTGTCTTCGCCTCAATTTCCGCAAATGGAAAGTGAGAGGACCAGATTTAGGTCATGGCTAAGGGCCCCCCTGCTCTGTCTTCTGGGTTCCCTGAGTGAGAAACGCTAGAGGCAGTGGGAAGGGATAGGGAACTAGCGATTATTGGGCCTTTGCTGTATATGCTGGGCAGGGAGCTAGGCAACTTCCAAGCAACACCTCCATTAATTCTCAGAAAGACCTTGAGAGGTACTATCCCCAAATATTTTATAGGTGGAGAAACTGAGGCTCAGAGCCCCAAGTGACATGGCTCAAGAATGCAAACCTGGAATTTGTCCTCTCAGGAGCAGTTGGGTGGGCACCCCAGCTCTGCCCCAGGCTTGCCCTCTGAGTCAACCTGACATGTGTCTTCTGGTAATGTCATTGGGGCTGAAAGTATGGTAAGCGGGCTGAGGGTGGCGGGTGGAAAATCATGAGAACTTTGCATACCCAAGTGAGCAGGGCCTGTGCCCCCACCCCGGCCCGGCCCTGGAGCACATCTCCCTCACGGCGTCATTATTTTTAGAAGTGCTGGGTTCTTCCCCGTTCACCGGCCGGGCCAGCTTAGGAGGCTTTGTCTGGGTCTTGGTGTCCTGCCTTGGGGAACCCCAGGGACATGCACAGGAAGTTTAGCCTTTGATTTCATCTTGCTCTCCTCCAGAACATTCGGGCTTTGGAGAGAAAGGTTGTTCTGGGTTTTGTGATCCCATCGTCTGTACAGTTCCTGATTCCCCAAAGTAAACCTGGCGCCAATGTGGATGAAGGGCTCCAGCATCAGGCAGCGCAGGCGCTTAGCAGGTGCATGGGAAATACGCTCAGATACTGTGTTTTGTCTTCTGTGATAGCAAGTGTACCAGAAGTAAGCTAAGAACTTGGAAAATATCTTCAATATTTAAAAATTCACTATTATTAGTCTGGGAAAGTTTTAGCTGTTAACCGTTTTACTCCTACAAGTTCTCTTAAGTACTTACAACATGAGCTTGGCTGCTAACCAAAAGGTTGGCAGTTTGAATCTACCCAGCCACTCCATGGGAGAAAGATCTGGTGATCTGCTTCCATAAAGATTACAGCCTAGAAAACCCTATGGGGCAGTTCTACTCTGCCATACGGGGTCTCTATGAGTTGAAATTGACTCGACAGCACCCAACATCAATAACAACTACATCCCAAGGTCCTTGGGTGGCACAAACCGTTTGTGCTCGATTACTAAATGAAAGGTTGGCAGTTTGAACCCACCCAGCAGCACCACGAAGAAAGGCCTGGCGATCTGCTTCCATAAAGATTACAGCCAAGAAAACCCTGTGGAGCGAGGTTCTACTCTGTAACCCATGGGTTTCCAAGAGTCAGGATCGACCTGATGACAATGGGTTTTACTATATCCCAGACACTGTACTAAGCACTTTATGATGCTAGCTCTATGTTACAAGTAAGGGAACCGGGGCTCAGAGAGAGGAGGTGGCTTCTGTATTAATGGGTGCAGCTGAAACTAGAGTTCAGGGCCCGCACTCTGAACCACTACAAAGGGCCCCGCTATTTCTGTTTTCACTGAATTACTTAATGAGCAGGATGCAAGGAAATTATGATAAAGATCATGGTAAATATGTAAGAACATACATTCACTTGTCCTGATGCCCTAAGCTAATTCAGGGTGCAGGAGGCATGATGTCGAGGGCCTCTGTGCAGTAGGAGCCCTACAGATTCTAGTCATTTGATTCTCACCATAACCTTACGAGGGAGGGACTTTCCCCCCATTTTACAGATGCGAAAACTGAGCTCAGAGGTAAATAACATGCCCAAGTCACAGAGCGTGAGCCTGCAGGCAGGTCTGCTCCAGAGTCCTCGGGTCCGCTGCCCAGTGTGTTGCCCACTCGGTTTTGTTCTCAGTTGATGGCAAGTTTCCCAACAGGAGTTGGCAGGGCCTGGTGTTGGTCAGGGCCTGTGGCGGTGCCCAGCCAGGTCCCGGCTGTCTATTTCAGTGCCTTTGCTTTTACGCTGACCTCGCTGGCCGCATGTGGGCTACAGTGAGCTAATGGCATCAGAGTGATCTGCGTGAGTTGTAGGAGGAGGGACAGCGAAGCCAGGTAATGAGTCACTAGGGAAAAAGGCTGCTTGTCCAACCCGCCCAGGGCAAGACGAGTGTGGCTGCTCACCTTTCTTCGTCTCGCTCTCTCTGATCATGAAGGATCCCATCTTGGTGTCTGGCAGCTGCAGCAGCTCCTCAGCCTTGTCTCTGCCCAGTCCTTCGAACAGCCACCTGGGAAGAGGGAGACAGTCGTGAGTCCCCTGCCCCCAAAAAAGGTGAGGGTGCAAAAAACAAGATGTAGGTCCAGTTAGTATAAAGGGTTAGGGATGAACAGAGGAAGGCAATCAACTAATTGTTCATTCATTCATTCATTCATTCAGATACAATTGCCTGAGTACCTGTTATGTGGTAGGTATTCCACTGGTTAATGGGAATGCAAAGGTGCATAAAAATATCTTCCTTACCTCGTGTCTCAAATGCCAACTGGAATGTAAACTTTCCATATTCTATCGTATGCGTGCATTATAAAACATCATCAAGTACCTGTCTGGTAGCTTGTTTAAAGTCTGTCTCCCTTAACTTCTGACTACCAAGCCCCTCCCTGACCACCCGATGGGGGCAGAGACTGTTTCTGTCCGTTTTGTTTGTCCTTGTGTCCGGAGTACTGTGCTTGGCAAATATTTGTTGAATGAATGAATGGACACACGAAAGAAGACGTGCGTGATATCACCAACTTAACAATCCCCACTTTGCAGTCATTATATTTCCTTCTTGTCTTCTTTTTTTTAAAACATATTTTAAACACAGTTGTCATTGTACTGTGCATTTATGTGTGTTCCTTGCTTTTTGCGTCAACAGTAAAAAAAAAAAGCAGCTGTAATGTTGTAGCTCAGCTTTCCGGTGGAATGTCCACCTTCCATAGGAGAGCAGACCCTTTTGAATACTCTCTAGAATGCAGCTCTGTACCCAAAGGAATCTATGCTCTAGAAAGAGGGGGCCCTTTCTCACTTCACAGAGCAGGCTTGGCCAGCCCTGTGTGGGAGCAAATGCTTTGTTAGCAGTTGGCTGGTGTGGACTGGGAAGCAATAGGACATCACTGTTTAAACAACTGCATTTCAAGCATTTCAGTGAATGTACCCTGGCTTTTAATCAACGTGCCTGAATTATCGTTACCAATATACCAGTTGCCCCCGAGCCAGTTCTGACTCATGTGTGGCAGAGTAGAACTACGCTCCATAGGGTTTTATCTGCTGATTTTTCAGAAGTTGATGGCCAGGTCTTTCTTCCATGGCACCTTTGGGTGTATTGGAACCACTAACCCTTTTGTTAGTAGCTGAGCACTTAACCATCCACACCACCCAGTAACTCCACATGAGGTCTCCATGAGTTGGAGTCAACTCAATGGCAACTGTTTGATTTTTTAAATCGGTGACCATTATGAATTCTTTACTGCTTTTGGCCCTTGTAAGACTCACAGTGGCACAGGCAGCTCACTGAAACACTGAAGTATCATGTGTGAGAAGACCAGGACGTAATATCAGATTCTATTCATTTCAGTTCTCATCCCCATGACCGATTTGGTCATTAAGATCATGATCAGGCCGTATTAGTTTAGCACAATGCATGGCATGCTTATTATTCGAGTGTATGTGGCAAATATTTATGCATTCGAGACTTTACATGAAACCCCACTTATAGAAATGAAGATCATAAAACAACAGTTAATAACCAGCTTTACCATGTATAGGTACTAATTACGGGCCACATGGCATATTAAACACTTGAAATCTAATCCTCTTATCAACTTTGTGAGAAAGGAAGTATTATCTTTCTTTCACCGATGAGGATACTGAGGCTCAGAGTGACTGAGTGATTTGTCCAAGTCACCATATCAGTAAGTGATAGAGCTAGAATTGGAATGTGTTTTTCTGGGCTGTCAAATTCCATGTTAATAACACCCTGGCTCTCTTCCTAGTCTATATTCTGAGGACTTTTCTTGCATCTGCTAGATTGGAAGCTCCCTAGGGTTAAGATTACATTTTCCTCATCTGGGTTCCTCACCACCCCTAGCTCCTGCCAGATTTCAGCTCCCCATCTTAAAGGCACGTTTGATATACATTTGCTAAATGAATGAGTGGACCAACGACACCCGGCAGATTTAGAAGAGCTGCCCGTCTCAAGTGTTTTTCAGAACATAATTCACATAGCAGCTACTGCCCCACTTACTGTCGCCTCCATCACCCTAAGCTTGAAGATGGTTTTGGTATTCATAATCGCAATCATGAATAGTATAGTTAAATGCACCGGGTTCCGTTTTATAAAATATTCAGGCAGTTATCACCACTTCGCCAGGTGGGCATGCAGCATGCAAAGTCCTTCTTTGAATGTAAGGAAGTTATTTCTGGATGCTTTCAGATAGAAATGGTGCCTCCTTCCTTCCCATTTCCTATGCGCGTGCACTTCCCTGCTGAGAGATGGGCTAGATAACTTGGCAGATAAGGAGGCTATAGCTCAAGGAGGCTAAGTTGCTTTTCCCAGGCCCTTCCATGTAAGTGGAGGGGCCAAGATTTGAACCCAGGGCTGCTGGACTCCAAAGCCACCCATGTTGCTGTAACGGCCTCAGCTGCACAAACATAGGAGAAATGTCGTGCTTGTTTTCTCATCTGCTTGACTTATCCCCTTGTCCAGTTGGGTATGCAGGCGTTCTCAGAGTGCTTCGGAATACGTATTTGACAAGGAGGTAGCTGATATTTATTGCGTGCTCGCTGTAATGCTAGCCATTATGCCAAGAACTATATATGCATCTTTCCGTCTAATTCTTCTAAAACCCTGTGCTTCGGGCATGTCGTTATACAGTGAAACCTGTGAGAACTAGAACTCAGTGTGACTGCCTTGTTTGTCCTGGACTCGCAAGTTCTCCGCCTTTGACAGGCTGCAGTCTCAGCACTTCTCTGTCACTCTCTGTTAGTGGAAAGTGTTTGACATTTCCTTCTCTGACAGGTTTCTGTCTTACATAGACTCTGGCTTTTGCAGGTTTAACTGTATATTATTGCTGCTATCATTGTACGGGGCCCTGGTGGCACAGTGGTTAAGAGCTCCACTGCTAACCGAAAGGTCGCCACTTCGAATCCACCAGCTGCTCCTTGGAAATCCTATGGGGAAGTTCTACTCTGTCCTATAGGGTCGCTATGAATCGGAATCGACTTAACAGCAATGGGTATCATTGTATATTATGATCCTTGTCTGACAGATGAGGAAAAGACGCTGATGCGTAGAAAGTTGGGTAGTGTGCCCACCATCCTAGCCAGCAGGTGACAGGCAGACTCACGCTGAGCCGCTATACCACACTGCGTCCTGCGATGACAGTTTCTGCGTGTTTACTGCTATGTTCCAGGAATCCTATCTTTGAGCTGAAAGGTCCAAATGCCTTCATGTTACTGATGGGGAAATCAAGTCCCAGAGAGGGAAAGGGATTAGCCCAAGGTCACCCCTCCCCTTAGTGACCGACCTGAGAGTGTGAACAGCTCTCTCTCAACCCAGCTATCCTGTGCTGTAATCTCTCTGCAACCGTATGAGTCACCGGCATAAATATCATCTTTTATTGATGCTATTTGAGCAACGTACTCACCCGTGGTAAACTCTGGCCACACATATTCCAGGAATATAGTTCTCTCGACCAGTGCTAAGAGAAATGGCTTTCCACCAGCCCCCTTCACTGTAAGAATAGAACAGATAGGAACAATGAACGCGTAAATGGCAAAGCAAATGAATGAAGAATCAGATAGGATTCGATTTATCAGATCAGATATGAGGAAACAATCACAGTGATCAGACTTAACTAACTGGGAGGTGGGCAGGTTGGGCCGATCCTTTTTATGATGTATCATTGGCCATGTGTACCTGAATTTCTCCATATGAAAGTTTAGTTCTTAAGTATATTTCTTCAATAGATATTCCCCATTCCAAGCTAGTTTGGAAGGCGTCCCACATCCTGGCAATAGCTGCTTTTCAGGGATCAGCAGATAATACTCCCAACTGATGTTCCAGGGTTGGGAGCTTTTTAAAAATACAAGTTCATTATATTGATTTACAATCCACAATCTACCAAGGATAGTCTTGTGTCCACACCAGTGGGAATCTAAGAAGAAGGGGCTTGGAACCCTTATTTTCTCTATATCTTTTTTTGAATCAGACGGAAGTGACAACAGGGTAAAAACCAACACTTCATGTTCATCAGTAGAAGTGTTTTCAGACCCCCGAATCCTCTTTCCCGAGTGTGTACAGATATATAACATCAAGACTCTATGTGGAGTGGGAGGTGAGGCCAATATGATAATCAGAAGCCGGGTCATAAAGTGTATCAACGACCCAGGTCAAGGAATTTACCTTTTCTCCAGCAGGCAATGGGGAGCCATTGAAGGTTTTAGAGCATTGGCAGCATTAAGGAGGAAGGCCCCGGTGTGAGTAAAATGTCTCCCCTCACCATCAAACCAGGGTCGATGTGAATTGGACAGCTTTAACCAAAAGCTAGCCATCCCACCGAAACTGAGTACACGCTCTTTTGAGGACCCTGAGAGTTTTGGAAAGCTGACTCACTCAGAGATCACACGCAGTTTCTCCCCTCGGCGGAATATGGGCGGGCTGATGTCAGGAGATGGGTAATCACTCAGCACAGCAAGGAAGTCGGTGTCCAGTCCTGGGGAAACAAGGGCAGAGCGTGTGCTTGTATTCACAGGGAATGGAAGGTGGCCCTGGCAGGGGAGGGTGCAAAGATGAGCCAGGGTGCTTGGGGGTCAGGCGACCTACTGCTAGTCTCGAGTGTGCCTTGGCCCCGATGTTCTCATCTGAGAAATGGGATCCAGAGACCCTGGAGGTGAAGTCACGAGATCTGGCTTCAGGGTCAGCCCCCCGCATCTAATGTCTACTAGCCTCAATTTCCCTGTCTTTAAAACGGGGCGAATAATCCCTCATTCCAGGGTCCTTATGGGATGAGGGGAAAGTGTGTGGCACCACATCGTGAATGATAAGGTGCTGTGAAGACACGCGCTCTGACTCCATTGCCTTAGGAGGGAGTTGTTAGGTTCCGTCTCTGAGCCTCGTGGGTCCCCGTCTGTAGCATGGCGAGGAGGGCTATGATTCGTGAGCTCTGATGACCCACCAGGACTCGGAGGCACTAACTCTGAGGCTCAGCAAAGTACTTCCTCTTTGCATAATATAAGGTACATCGTTGGGGACTTATTTAATCGGGGCTTTCGTTTGGGCAGAAGGAGGAAAATTGAGTGCTTTTCATTGCTTATGCGGAAAGCAACTGTGCTGCTGTTTTGAAAAGGAAAGCATGTTATTTGGTTCATGTAAGTACGGCTTCCTGTAGAGTAGAGGAACAGTGACAAGATGTGAATGTGCTTTTTACCACTAAGCAAAATCCGTATTTCACATCCTTATTCATCTGTCACAATTCAGGCACATTGCCATCCAGTCTGTTCTGACTCATAGCGACCGTACGTACAAATAATGAAACACCGCCCGGTCCTTTGCCACCCTCATAATCATTGTTATGCTTGGGCCCATTGTTGTAGCCACTGTGTCAGTCCATCTCGTTGAGGTCTTCCTCTTTTTTGCTGACCCTCTACTTTACCAAGCATGATGTCCTTCTCCAGGGACTGGTCCCTCCTGATAACATGTCAGATAACAAGTATGTGAGACAAAGTCTCACCATCCTCGCTTCTAAGGAGCATTCTGGCTGTACTTCTTCCAAGACGGATACGTTCGTTCTTCTGGCAGTCCATAGTATAGTCACTATTCTTGGTCAACACCATAATTCAAGGGCATCAATTCTTCTTTGGTCTCCCTTATTCATTGTCCAGCTTTCACATGCATATGAGGCAATTGAAAACATCATGGCTTGGGTCAGGCGCACCTTAGTCCTCAAAGTGACATCTTTGCTTGTGAATACTTTAAAGAGGTCTTTTGCAGCAGATTTTCCCAATGCGACACGTCGCTTGGTTTCTTGACTGCTGCCTCCATGGGCACTGATTATGGATCCAAGTAAAACGAAATCCTTGACAACTTATCTTTTCTCCGTTTATCATGATGTTACTTATTGGTCCAGTTGTGAGGGTCTCTGTTTTCTTTATGTTGAGGTGTAATCCAAACTGAAGGCTGTGGTCTTTGATCTTCATCAGTAAGTACTTCAAGTCCTCTTCACTTTCAGCAAGGAAAGTTGCATCATCTGCATAACGAAGGTTGTTAATGAGTCTTCCTCCAATCCTGACACCGAGTTCTTCTTCATATAGTCCAGCTGCTTGGATTATCTCCTCAGCGTACAGATTAGATGCAGGGAAACACGGGGGTATATTTGAGGGGAAATGATAGGTCTTACAAATCAGCAAACCCAGTGTTGGCTTGCTACAGTGTTTATCACTCCATCTGCTGGCTGGGCATCTGACCTCAAGATTCTAGATAACTTATTGCCGATTGATTCCTTTGGCAATTGTTGCTGAGCACCTAGCACAGGCCAAGCACTGGTAAGCAAACAATCCCAGTCTCCTGCTCTGTGGCACTCACATTCTAGATAATATACAAATAATCATGGGAGGGGACAATCCTTACACCCCTCGCCCCAGGAAAATCTGGAGACATTCCAGCACACTGGCATGGTGGTCTTGGGGGGCACCAAGAGGCCACTTTCTAGGGTCCAGACATCCACATGTTGGAACCTCCGGACCCCGCCCCTGACATGGACTCATCAGGCCCCAGGACAGACTGAGTCGCAAGAGAGATTAGATATCAGAATATGTGAGAAATACAAATGAGGTTTTTGGTAAAGGGTGTGGTTATCAATTGATAAATGAATCAGAACCAAGTTGTCACAGCAGGACAGTGTGCTCGAATGTGCTGTTCCTCGGCAAACTGAGTCACAGCCGATTGTGAGCCCTGCAGGACCGAGAGATGGAAAGTCGGCCTCCGGAAGGGGTCACCGCTCCTGAGAAAGAGCTCAGTTGAGACAAGGAAGGGCAGGCTCAGCTGGGCCTCAGACCGTGAGCCTGTGCGGGAGCCTCCCCACACCTGCTTTAGTAAATTAAGAAAAGCGTTTCCTATCACCACCGACACTCTGACAGGGCTCACAACAGACAGTCCTGGACAGAGCAGGAGGAAAATGTAGAACAGAATTCAAATTCATGGAAAAACACCAAGTTACTAGTCTGACAGAGACTAGAGGAACCCCTGAGACAACGGCCCCCAGACACTTTGCTAACCCGGAACTGAAGCCACTCCTGAAGCTCACTTTTCAGACAAAGATTGGACAGGCTTATAAAACAAACAATAACACCCATGAGGAATGTGCTTCTTAGTTCAATCAAGTATATGAGACCAAATGGGCAACACCTGCCCAAAAGCAGGACGAGAAGGCAGGAAGGGACAGGAAACCTGGACGAATGGACACGGGGAACTCAGGGTGGAAACGGGGAGCATGCTATCACATTGTGGAGATTGCAACCAATGTCACAAAATGATACGTGTATAAATTTTTGAATGAGAAATTGACTTGAGCCGTAGACTTTCACCTAAAGCACAATAAAATTAAAAAAAGAAGAGAAAAGCGTTTCCTTCCCTTGCACAGCCCAGGCCCTGCCAGAGAAATAGAGGTGGGCCTGAGAGGTTTGCGGGGGGCACTTTCAGTCAGAAGTCCTGAGTTCTCATAAAGGGTGGATCCAGATGCTGTGGGGCATGAAGCTGATGCAAATTTGGAGGTCCTCTTTCAGAAAGAAGAAAAAAAAAAAAAAAAGAAAGAAATCACAAATACAAAATTAGGTACGGGTCCTGGGAAAGGGCCGCAGCAGTGAGGGGTCTCAGGCACTTCCTTCAGTCTCTCACTGCAGCTGTGCTGTGTTTTCACAGCCATCCAGGCAGAAGGAAGCCCATTTGGGGGAGGCAGCAGTGAGGGCGGCCATCCCCAAACCAGCCTCTTGAGTAAGGCAAGTGTTGAAATAAGAGGCCCAGAATTTGTTATCCGCGTGACGATAATAAACCCAAAACCAAACCGATTCATAGCAACTCTACAGGACAGAGCAGAACTGCCCCATAGGGTTTCCAAGGCTGTAATCTTTATGGAAGCCGACCGCCACATCTTTCTCCTGCGGAGTGGCTGGTGGGTTCGAACCACCAACCTTTTGGTTGGCAGTCGAGCGCTTTAACCACTGTGCTCCCAGGGCTCCTCCCGTGACAATAACAGAACCTTGAAATAGATTGTTTCTCTACAGAGGGACTTGGGGTTCTGAGTCTGATTCCAGATGAAGATTGTGAAACAGAACAGCATCTTTTGTAACATTACAAACAAAACTAAAACAGAAACGAAAACCAAACCAAAAAAAAAAAAAAAAAAATCCCATTAAAAAGACGATTGGTTCAACGGAGGAAGTGAGGGGGTTGCTCAAGAGGTTAGAGAATTTCAAGTTCACAATAACAAGGTTTCCTATGGAATTTCCATAATGACGATGCTTTTATAGCTACAAAGCTGGAAACAACAATGAGAAAAATTTTCATTTGGACTTTTACTTAAAGGGGATGGACTTTACTTTGTCACTTGCGAGGGACTTCATGCATATTCCCATCACCTTGATCACCAGCATTAGAAAAAAGGGCAAAGTCACTTGAATGTATTGAATTTTGACTTGTACGTATCGTGGAGAGACTGTTGTTGTTAGATGCCGACGGGTCGGTTCCAACTCATTGTGACCCTATGTACAACAGAACAAAACACTGCCCGGTCCTGCACCATCCTTACAGCGGTTACCAAGTATTGTGGAGAGGGCAGCCATTCTAAGCAAGATTTTATGCCTGGATCCCAGCCAAGTCTTCCCTGCGCCTAGGTCCCTACTGTGAAATAGATACAAAGTGGGAAATTTAAATTTGCTTATAAAGTTCAAACCAAGGCTTCAAACCCCTGCTGAGAATTTGCGATTCTAACAACTTCCCTGTTGAGAATTTGCATTTCTAACAGGTTCTCAGGTGATGCTAATGCTGCTGGTTAGGGACCAACTTTGAGAACCACTAGTCGAGCAGTGGCTCTCAAAATTTATTATACATAAGAGTCACATGAGGATCTTGTTAAAATGTAGGTTCTGATTCAGTATATCTGGGGTGGAAATGCAAATTCTCAGCAGGGGGTCGAAGCCCTGGTTCAAACATAGTATCATGCCCTCCTGGACCCCCGTGGCTTCATGGAGAGCAGAGCATCTGAACGGAATCAGATCCATGAGTTGGTTACCTGGAGAAGAGGGATCTGGGTAGCTGGCAGGATTAGTGCAGACACAGGATAATGACCCAGGCAGAGAAATCCACGTAGGAGACAAAAGAAGGAAACCAGAGGTCTGCAGAAGAATGTAAGTGGGCTCTGAAAGCAGTCAGGCCTGGCTTAAACTCCACCACTTAATAGCTCAGTGATTTGGGGAGAGATTTACTTTTAACTAATCTGAGCTTGATCGATTTCTTCATGTATAAAAATGGGAATATCAAAATATGTCTCATATGATTGGGGTAAGGATTAACAATGCATTACAGGTATTAGGCCTGCCTCAACAAATGACAGCTAATTTCATTTTTTCTAGGGGTAGGGTTACCATCCTTGAATCTAAGACCAATTTCAGTCAGCAGTGTTCTAAATTTGGAAACCCTCTGGGAGTGTAAATTTGAAAAGAGTCTCATCATCTAAAAACAAACTCCATTTGATGAGAGCAGAAGGTGAAATTCAAAAGACCAAATATCTGCTGATAGCTCAACTCAAAAATTAGTCGGGTTGAACAAAACATACAAAAACTTAAAACAGGAAATGAGCCAAAAAAGGAAGGAGACCTGTGCAGAACTTACTAGCTACAAATATCACTGAGTCAAAAGAGGAGGGCCCTTCTTTGCATGATTGTTTCTTGGAGCATTGTTACCATCTCTTTTGAAACACTGAAAACATTCTCAGTAGCTCCCAATTATAACTGTCTAGCAATACTAGCCGTTCGGTGCTTCAATATCCTACAGCTATTTCCACTTAAATGGCCATGGAACCAAGGCTGGAAGAGTTTTAGTAACACATCCAGTGAGAACATGAGGATTTCAAAGCCATGGCCACTTCACTAAGCCACATAGCTCTCCTAGGCAGTTAGTCACCAGGCCTTTCCTAGTTAACACTGGATCCTTAGCAGGTTAGGACAAAGGCTGAGTACAAATGAGATCTTAGAGTACTCACAAGCAGCTCAGTGCAGCTGGTGGGCGAGGAGCTAAACAACCCAGTGATTTCAGCTTCTGGCTTTGCCTTCCCCTTAGTCAAGGCCGTGGCACCCTGGTGAAGAGCTCAGCAGCTAACCAAAAAGTAGGCAGTTCAAATCCACCAGCCGCTCCTTGGAAACCCTAGGGGGCAGTTCTACTCTGTCCTATAGGGTCGCCGTGAGTAGGAATCGACTCAACGGCAACAGATTTGGTTTGGTTTTTTGTTTAGTCATGCCCAAACCCGTGGCTTCCTGAGGGGCCGAAGCTGGCCTCAGTGTTACTTATCTTTTTCAGGAAACGCACACACACAGCTAACCAAACAGACCGGCCTGAGAGACGTCACTGTGGCTTGCGCCTGTGGGTCCTCTTATTTATATGTGAAGGGCTGTATCGTGGGTTATAAAGGGAAACACAGTGGCCCAGAAATCTTCTCCCAAAGCCTTGCTTTTCCCATCCGTTAAATGGAGCAGATTTCAACTGGATGACTCTAAGGTTCTTTCCGGTCTCAGCACTCTTAGATGCTACAGGGGAGATGGGACAGAGCAGAAGTAGAAAATAGAGCAAATCTGTTCAGCTCCATGGACTGAGAATTTCAGCTTTGTCTGGGTCGCCTAGGACTTCCCAGACTCGGGGTGCTTGCATTACAACTCCTCCATCCTCATCCTCACCACCTCCACCAGCAGCAAGGCGCATGGTGCTGGAGTGCTCATGACGAGTCAGGCCCTGGGCTGCGTGTTATCTCGTTAATCCTCACACCTCACCTGTTAAGTTGGCACTATTACTACTTCATCTTGGATATGAGGCAATAGAGGCACAGTGAGGTTGAGAGACTTGTCCAAGGAGCACACAACTGGTTGAGTGCCAGGTTTCACAACCAAGTGACCTAGCAGCGGAGTACGGAGACTGCCCTTGACCACCCTGCTCTGTCATAGCCATGCACTGCCCACTCTACTGTTTACTTAGCAATGCTTTACTTTATATTAATTCACTTTTTTTTTTTTAAACTTTAGTCCCATCCTAAGCAATGTAAAGTCCTGGTTTAATGGGCTAGTTATATATTTTTAACAATATTTATTAAATATGTTGTTGTTAGGTTGTTAGGTGCCATTGAGTCAATTCCAACTCGTAGCGACCCTGTGTACAACAGAACGAAACACTGCCCCATCCTGAGCCATCCTCACAATCGTTGCTATGTTTGAGCTCATTGTTGCAGCCACTGTGTCAGTTCATCTCATTGAGGGTCTTCCTCTTTTTCACTGACCCTCTGCTTTACCAAGCATGGTGTCCTTCTCCAGGGACTGATCCCTCCTGATAACATGTCCAAAGTATGTGAGACGAAGTCTCACCATCCTCCCTTCCAAGGAGCATTCTGGCTGTACTTCTTTCAAGACACATTTGTTCTTTCTTCTGGCAGTGCATGGTATATTCAATGTTCTTTGCCAACAACACAGTTCGAAGGCGTCAATTCTTCTCCGGTCTTCCTTATTCATTGTCGAGCTTCTGCGTGCCATGTGGCAGTTGAAAATACCATGTCTTGGGTCAGGCACACCTTAGTCCTCAAAGTGACGTCTTCGCTTTTTAACACTTTAAAAGAGATCTTTTGTAGCATATTTGCCTAATGCAATATGTTGTTTGAATTCTTGACTGCTGCTTCCATGGGTGTTGCTTGTGGATCCAAGTAAAATGAAATCCTTGATGACTTCAATCTTCTCTCCATTTATCATGACGTTGCTTATTGGTCCAGCTGTGAGGATTTTTGTTTTCCTTATGTATTTTGAGTACCTTCCGACCTGAAGGGCTCCTTTTCCAGCACTATATCAGACAGTGTTCCACTGGCATTCATACGGTTTTCACTGGCCGGTTTTTTTCAGAAGTAGACCGCCAGGTCCTTCTTCTTAGCCTGTCTTAGTCTGGAAACATCACTGAAACCTGTCCACCATGGGTGACCCTGCTGGTGTTTGAAATACTGGTGGCATGGCTTCCAGCATCACAGCAACACGCAAGCCACCGCAGTACAACGAACTGACAGATGAGTGGTGGTTACTAAACATACAATTATATGAAAGTTGAATGGTCAGTTTCCACATAAAACCATCTTATGGACCACCAGTGGGGTGAGTAACACATCCATGGGAAATGGAGATCTTCTAGTCAAAGATCTGACATGGGATCCTGGCCCGGTGTCCCTCACTGGGACACTTGCTGGGCGACTAAACCTGGAAAGCAACCTCTCCCTCCCTCTAGACAGCACCATGCACTCTCAGAACAGTGGGGGCTCTGGAAAACTCACCCCCTCCACGCATCTATTGTGGTGGTTCTGAGCAGGGACTCTAGAGCTGGGTCACCTGGGCTTAAACCCCAGCTCTCCACTTATGAGCTCTGTGATCTTGGGCAAGGAACTTAACCTCTCTGTGCCTCAACTGTAAAGTGGCAGTGCTAACAGTGATTACCTCATGTAGTCGTGAGGATTAAGAGTTCATATCTGTGAAGCACTTGGGATGGTATCTGGCACTCTGTAAGCACAAGTAACTGGTAGGTGTGATTAGGATTCCTTCGGTTGGCTCGGAATCCATCCACAGGTCCCCTCTTACCCTTCTTAGTGCCACCAAGGACAGGTGGAAACCCTTTTCGATCAAGCATTCCTTCAGAGAGCTGATGACGCTGTCAGAGTCATGCAGTGTCCCAGCCGAAAGGGGCCTTGGTGATCATGCAAGCCAGCCTTATTGCTTTGCAGCTGGAGAGACTGGGCCCAACCAGAGTCCCACAGCTGCTGATGGCAGCCTCCCAGGTCCTGGGGTTCAGTGAGAAGTCCCATGCCTCACTCCTCCCCCAGAGTTTTCTTCCCAGCTTGTATCTTAAAAGATGACAAAATACACCTCTGGCCATGGAAGGTCAGGTTGGCTGCACCCAGAGTCAGCCCAGCCTGACCCTGAACCTGTAACGGGCTAGTTGAAAAGCTTAGCTGGACAATGTCAAGACTAGACAAGGATCTAACAGCTGCATTTCTCTACCTTCCATCACCCATGCCCAGGGCACCCAGGCCCTATGCCTGAAGAGAGCGCCATTTCAATGTCCCTCAGCTACCTTCCCCTGGTTTACCACAATTCTGTCCTTCTCTCCCCCGGTGAGCTTCACATCTGCACAGTTACAGAACATTGGGCTGTTCGACAACATGCCTTGAGCCCCACTCTGCACCAAGCATCTGGGAGAAAGATTGGGAGCAGCGTAAGGACAAGGGCAGTCGTCTTCAAGTCCACAACACCTTACGGGATCTCTTTGGGGAAGGAATAGCGTAAGTGTCTCCAGGGTAATGATCCCCACATTACAAATGAGCACAGAGCCGCTGAGGAGATATGCTGCCTTCTCTCTTTTCTCCTTGCTCATCGTGTGTTGGTGTCAGGGCCAGACTCAAAGCTAGGTCTGAGGTCTGCAAGCTTTAGGGGGTTTAAGATTCACCTGGAATCCCTGGGTCAGGTGTTCCACTACTAACCACCATCTACTTGCAAAAATCAGCCATTAAAACCCTATGGAGCACAGTTCTACTCTGAGACACATGGGATCATCGAGAGTCGGCGTCAACTCCATGGCAGCTGGTTAGGTTTGGGTTTTTTGTAAGAGTCATCTGAAGGGCTTGTGAAAAAATCAACTTGCTGCTCCCGCCCACCATCACCTGGTTCTGATTAGCACGTCTGTGTTTTAACTTGGCTGAGTCCCTGGGTGGCACAAACGGTTCACTCTGTATGACAGATTAATTTGAATTGTAAACTTTCATGTAAAGTACAACAATTGAAAAAAAAAAAAAAGGTTCACGTACTCGGCTAATAACTGAAAGGCTGGTGGTTCAAATTCACCTAGCAGTACCTTGGAAGAAAGGCCTGGCAATCTACTTCTGAAAGATCAATATCACTGAAAACCCTACGGAGCACAGTTATATTCCGACACAAATGGGGTTGCCATGAGTCAGAAATGACTCCATGGCAACTGGTTTGGTTTTCTGGTTTTTGCCTCCGATGCAGGTGGTCTGAGGACCACTCACTGAGAAGTTCCAAGCTGGGCCTTGAGCCTTCCCTCCCCGTCTTCCTCCGCAGGCCCCCACCCACCCGCTTCTTTCCACTGAGGCAGCAGCTTAGCTGGGTATGTAAATGTCCTGCTTGTGTTTTTTTCCATCCTTATCAGCCCTTACAAGACAGGGCCTGAACCGCCTTTCCATTTGCGTTTTGCCACATCTGTCAGCCCATCTCTTTCAGGTAGAAGTTAGGAAGGTAGGAAACAAAGAGGGGAAAAAGATCACAGGGAGTAATGAGTTCTCTTCTCAGGATGGAAACCTGCCATTTCCTGCTACACCGGGAATTCCCTATGGTGTGTTCAGTCTCCGCCCAGGGAGGAGTCTGAAACGGGTGCAGAGCTGTGGAGTAAAATGAACTATCGGGGTGGTTTGGAATCGCCAGTTCCAGCACTTTACAACATTTGGGAGTGACTATTTAATCATAGCCTATTGCAATGAGATAACCCCAAATGGAGCTTTTTTTTTTAAAAAAAAAAAATGCATTTACACACATTTTTATGAGGTAGCTCCTTTTTGCTGCATCGTTGCTGGAGAGAGGGATCATTCTGTCTCTGTGTTACAGCCGACTCACTTGTGAGACTGAGTGACTTACCTAAGATCACACCTGTCCGGAGGGAGGGACAATACCTGAAGCTCCATCAGGGTCTTTTGTCTCTGAAACCTGCCCTATTTGCACCAAGTCCTACTGCCTCTGTGGGTTTTGTGACATTAAACAAACCAAACACCAAACTAGTTGCCATTGAGTCGATTCTGACCCATGGCAACCTCAGGCGTGTCAGAGCAGAACTGTGCTCCATAGGGTCTTCAATGGCTGACCTCCCAGAAGTAGATCTTCCGAGGCACTTCTGGGTGGATTAGAACCCCTAAGCTTTCAGTTAGCAGTCCAGCACATTAACCGTTTGCACCATCCCTGGGAACTAGACTAATCAAGAATGCTCTGGAAAGCTTAGCCTAGGAGAAAACAAATGGTCAAAGCTTTATACCAAGGCATCCATACTCCTGGCTTGGGGGAAGAATGATCTCCTGAAAGCTCAGAGACTTGTTTGTCTAAACGGCCATAGATCAGGTGGCGTGGGATCCCTGTGCAGGACCAGGGGCCTTTGCGGCTTTTAGCTCTTGGCTAAAACAATACATAAGAGGAAGCTCTAAGGGCATGTTTGCCTAAAGCAATCGGTGTGCTCTGAGCTGCTGCCTGCTCTGCGTTTGACACTCATCCAGAGAGTAAGCTGGGGGGCAGTAGCTGTCCCATTCCTTGAAAAGCTGGCCCTTTGCATTATGCAGATAAGGACTCATTAACCAGCCTCCATTGTACCTCTTCCTTCCCCCTTATTCAAGAAGGTGTAAAACAAAAGAGGAAATAAAGTTGAGGCTGATCACAAGGGAAACTTGGCAGGGGTGGGGGAGGAAGGCGGCCCACCAGCACTTGATGTGGTTGCTCGGATGACACACCGGGCTTGATCTGGGGAATTCTTTTAGCCTGGGGGGGTGGAGGACTGGGGAGACCCCTCCACCTCCTTCTTCAAGGTGACCCCCCACCCACACAGTGGAAAAGGAGAAACTCATTTCATGAAGATTTGCATTGGAAAATCGAGGCAAATAAGCCAGTCCTCGGAGGCCGATGTTTTCATGGGGTTTGCTCAAGCATGCCGCCCCCTTGGCCCCAGTCTGAGAGGTGACACCACAAAATGGCTTAGGTCGGAGGTGCCTGCTAAGCCGACCGGGCCCTGGTCATTGCAGTGTCAGTTTTCCCTGGGTGGTGCAAACGGTTAACGCGCTCGTCAGCTAACCAAAAGGTTGGAGGCTTGAGACTACCCAGAGGCGTCTCGGAAGAAAGGCCTCACGATCTACTTCTGAAAACCCTATGGAGCACAGCTCTACCCTGACACACATGGGGTCACCATGAGTCAGAATCGACTCCAGGGCGCCCGGTGTGACTGGAGAAGGAGGCTATGGCTGGAGCCAGTTTGGAGAAGGTGGAGGAGGGGCCAGACTCGGCCCCAAGGCAGCAGCAGGCACAGCGGCTCTGCCCCAAGTGTGTCCTCTCCGAGCTCTACACGCGAGGGAAAGGCCCCCTTCTCAGCCAGGAGCGTATGCCACTCTAC